TTATCTTTATAATCCGCTCTTGCTGTTTTTCTCGCTTGAATTCAATTTCAACAGGCAAGATACTAACAGCCCTTGGGAGCAAATTTGAACACCACTGTTTTAGAGATTTGCATGAAATTCCACAAATCCATAAAACTATTTGTAGTTTGAAAATTCTAATAAGGTGTTGGTTATTGCCATGCGGCCAAGTTGTTCAGTTGGATGAGTTCCTAAAGCAGAGTTGTAGTTTCTTTGTGGTAACAAATTCAACCTTAAACCTCTCCATCATGAAATCGTGAGAAGAATAAAGAAACACCTTCTATCTTTTTCTGTTTGTTTTTAAATAAGAAATAATTATCAAAATAGGCATTATTTTTGTGGCATTATTATGCTAAAGGTCTTTACAGGTGGTGCAGCATTTGTAGCAGACTGGTTTTACACATTAATACTTCAGATCGTTTCTGAAAGTTAAAGTTTTTTTTAGAATTACTCTAAAAAATATACATAAATGTTCTGATATTACAGAAACTTATTTATACGTTTGAAAGTATTTTCAAAAGTGAGTACTTCAATAACTTAGATTTTTGACTGAGTAACTTTTACTTCTAGTTGAGTAATATTTGACTATGAATATCAATACTTGTACTCAAGTACTACCACTGAGTACTTCCTTTTTCCACGCCATGCCATCATTTAGCATGTAGTTTCAAACCATAACTTCTGACACCACTTGCTACATGCTAGTCAGGAGGTCAATCAGTCTTGGAGGAGGGACCCAAAACAGTTTAAAGGAACAGACTTAGAAGAGTTTAAGCTGAAACTTCTTCAATTTTTGTTACTGCAGCACATCAACCAAACCACACCAACCACAGCACAATGACAGACAAGCTTCTTAGATACAGATGGAACTAAATTGGAAGAAACCTTTATAATAAATAACGGAAACAAGAGTATTTGTTCTAAATGAGCAGCTAGTGCAGCGATATATTTACATGTACAAATCAAGACAAAACAGAAACTTTCAATTCAATCCCAACAAATACTCAAAACTTCATATAGAAGACAACATACATAAGACTAAACCCCTCCTTCAATTCTGATGGTGCGGTCCTGTGCATACCTGCTCTGAAAGGGAAATGGCAGAGGAGAGTATTCAAACTGACCTTTCATATTTCACCACTCTAATATACCGGTAAGCGTTTCATTTTACGTTAAGAGTGTAGCAACTAAATATTCTAATGTTAAATCAGTTCCACGTTTAAAGGAAACAAGATGAGGCCTGTCAAACAAGGCACTCCCCAAAACAAATCTAATTTCGAAATAAACTAAATAACAAAACCAGAATGTGTTTAACTGTTATCTTTTACTCACAAATATAAAGATAACGGGTCATTGTTACAACCATCCATGTGCTGACTTTGACATTTTATGAACTATATTAACCTAAAAGTTACAAAAAGAAATACAGCAATTAATAATTTACAACTGTATTATAATTAATGAGGATTAATATATGATTGTTGCTGTTTTATATAATTTTTTTAATGTTTTGTGGGGTAGAGTTTGTCTCTGCTGTCCTTTAGGAGTCTTCTATGTAATCAGTGATAAACATCAACTGCTCAACCCATTTAATGTTTATACTGTGTATAACAATAAATTCCTTTAAACGGCACCGAAGTATAAATATGTGCATAGCTTTATTAGCAACGGCCTCATGAAACTCTGCTCCATCTTCAGTGATTTATTGCCACAATATAGAAGTATGTTCATTTTGATCATTATAGGTTCACCCTGAACCCCTTTGGTGCCCTTTCATTTCCGGCAAACCTCCATTGCACATTGGTCACCTCTGAAAATTTGCCACTGTTGTCAAATTTTTGTCCAAATTCTTGTTTCATATCATATTTATGGTTAATTAAGACTTGCACTGGGAGGCCACAGTGCAGTTACATGAGCTGGCATGGAGGTGAGGTAAACAGTCTTTAGGTATAAATTGGCTTTAAAAACAATTAAACAAAAAAACAATTGTTTGGGCAGAACGCATCCTGACACTTGAGTCTCACTCTTGTCTTTTATTGAAACTCTGCAGATCTGTCTTAACACTGACTGACTGCTGGCTGCCTTTAATCATGACACATTCTCAGGGTTAATGATTTTACTTGCATGGTTTATATTTTTAAATCCTGAGATCATAAAGTCCTGATAGTGTTTTCTTTCTGGAATAGTGTAACCCCTTTTTTTATTCTATTGTAATATTTATTTTACTTTTGTTATTTTTCAGCTTTATACCTCTTTATACCCAATTATATAAAATTCTAAAACATGTTATCTTTATTTTAATCTAAAAAAGAAAAATCATCATATCTGCATAATTATATCGCTGCTTACTTGTCAAACCATATACACCAAAGTAGTGCAAATTAGTTGTCAATGTTTTCTGATGAGTAGACCTTTTATTTAATACTTTGATTTATTTATAAATTAAAAAAAACTCCTCATATTACAAAATTAAACTTAACATTTCAAAACATGGAAAAGTAACTGCATGCTTACTTTCAGAGTTACTTTCACTGAGCATTCACTGTTACTGAGTTACATTATTGGAGGCATAAGTATCTATAACTAGCAAATTTTTTAAAGTAACTTTCCCAACAGTGATAACTGAGATGCTAATTAGGGAACATGTGGGAAAGATGCAGCTTTTTTTATGGTTCTGCTTTACTACTCATATTCTCATAAAAAGCATCAGCTCCGAGTGTGCAGTTTAAAAAAAGTAACACATATTTTGGCTCTACGCACACATCAACTAATATGGTAGTCATTTAATGTTTCTGTCTGCTCTGGTACAGGTATGTCTGGCAATAAGGAGCTTTTTCTCTCTGAAGTCTTCCACAAGGCTTTTGTGGAGGTCAACGAGGAGGGAACAGAGGCTGCTATTGTTTCTGGTACTGCAATAAATCTTTGTTTCAGAGAAACTCCATTTTTTTGTGCAAATCAACCCTTCCTTTTCTTCATCCGCCATAACCCCACCATGAGCATTCTCTTTGCTGGACGCTTCTGCTCCCCTGAATGATATCCGTTTGCTTTAAAGTGAACACTGTCCTTGTGAAAGGTAAGGGGTGATGCAGCAGTAGCCACATTCCTGCAACAGTAATAGAAGTATGATCTTAATTCAACCTTTTTATAGAGAAAGTGCCTAATTGCTGGCTTAATCGAGTGAAATGGTTTGAAAAACATCACTTCTGTTTTATTTGCAGAAACTAACCTGGGTAACTGCTACATAAACAATATGTCTGACATTTCTCAATGCATAATCTGGACATTGACAGGAAACTACTGCTGTGTCTTAAGAGCATGTGATTTACTATCATAGGCTTTGCTATCATGCTGACGTATTAAAATCTTATTGAATGTTTAAAGATTCTGTACAATAAACCATTACCTGAGCAAAATGAATACTTTGTCATACTTCCTGTGAATCTATTCAACTCTGTATCTTCTATTTGGGGGGCTCTAAAACCTTTAAGCCTTCCAAACAAAACGCCTTCTTCAGAAGTAAACTCAGACTATTAAGCCTAATAGTAACAAGCACTTGAAAACAGCAAAAGACAGCAGGCCAGTAATTTTGAATTGAAATGAAAAAAACATTGATCCCAAATAGATTTTAATAGTTTTTCAATAATTTAGTTTGTAATTCATATGTATCTAATAAATAAATCTAGGTCGATATTTATGTATATTTCTAATGAAATAAAACCGACTTGGTCAAATGTTGAGATGAATTTCTAAAACAGAAAAAATAACCGACCAATTGTTTAAAGCAACACACTTTCTAGGAACGCTGCAATTTCCCTGGTGTAAATCCCACTAATTGGCATGTTGCTTCTCAAAAATAACCTTAGCCCTCCATGGGTGCTGCACGGCATTGCACTGCTCGATAAGGGATGGGTTAAGTGCAGAAAACATTTTTTTGTGAATGCCAGTGTTGTCCTGAAAACAATGTAGGCTAGGCTGATCGTTGACAGACTTTTTGGGGAAATCTGGTGTGATTGAGAGGGACGGCATCCATCCCATCTTGAATGTGCAGCTTTTCTTTCTAGGAATTCAGATCTATTAATCTTCCAAAACCTTGACAGTCCAGCGTGCAGACCAGGAAGCAGGGTTGTAGTATAAACGCCTCCCTGCAGCTTCTTTACTGTTAGACAATCCAAACATCCAACCAGTGTCTTGTCCACGGCCAGTATCAGATAATCATAAAGTCGGAAATCATGTTGATCTGATTAAAGTTCACATTAAAAGAATTGAGAAAAAAAGTTAAACCAGGTAAGGTCAGCTGCTGCCTATGAATCACCTGCAGAGGATTGTTAATAAATTGTTAATAGTTGTTGTTAAAAATTGTTAATAGTTGTTAATAAATTTTTCATATATTAACAACTACTTCACAACAGAAACACTGCGGTTAATTGTGCACATCAATATACAAATATTAAAGGTGATAGATACAGAATTCATGCTCTTTTCAGAACTAAATTTAGAATTATTTGGGGTAAAGATAAAATTATGTGCCTCTGCAAGTCATCTAGGAGTCTTCAGTGAAATCATAGATAAATAAATACTTTAATAATAACATAAAAATTAATTAAATGTGGATATTAGTAGATTTAAATATAATTTTTTTGCAGAATGATTGTTTATAAAAGTAAGGTAGGTAATGACAATTGAAATATGTTCACCCTGAACTCAAACCTGAAAGAATTTTGACCTATACCTTTTATTTACACAGCATAGATGTTTAAATATATGCATCTATTTGTAGCAAAGGCTGCAGGAAAGTATAGTTTGTCTTTATTTAGAAAATATGAATGTTGTGCTTGTTCCTGTTGGAACAGTGTAGATTGACCCTGAGGTTCTGGTGCCTTTCGGCCACCCCTCAATGTTCGTTTGTTATTGACTGGACACCCCTATTAGGATTTTCTGGCTACACCTCTGCTCCCTTCCTACACACATTAACACAAAAAACCTTTTCCCAAATACAGATTTATTAACATAATATTAACATTCCAGTTAACTCTTTGCTGGGCTATTAACATTCAAATCAACTTCTTAGTAAATACTAAAAGAACAAGGTAAACATAGCAATGGAAGAAGGAACAGATAAAGAAACTCATTACATATGCAGTGGAATCCAAGTTAAATGAGATTCTGTATGTCTAAGAACCATGGAGAATCAAAATGTATAAAAAAAAAATTAGGCTCCCAGCTTTGGCATTTCAAAGGAACATATTAGGAAAACAACTAATTCAATTCACATTACTCTGTGGAGAAAATAAAGATTAATTCACAGCGTCCTCTACACCAGTGGAAATACCACCTTTGATCTTCATCTATCAATCTGTTTTACAAACGGTCAATAAAAAGAAAAAAAAATAACGTTTGTCAGCTTAAGGTTCACAGCCTACTTATAAAGATTTATTAAAACTGGTTGAGTGCATATTTTCAATTGCTGTAGAAAGCCTGCCCCTTGGTTATCTAAGCATCTCCGCTACAGTAACATATGAAAAATACAAAGGTGCTTTAAGAATTTTAAAATCATTATTATTACCTCATTAACAGTGCAATCGTGTGGACAACAGGCATGTAGTGCACTTATTTGTTAGTTCACAACTTCAGTTCAAGGGTTTCAACTGAAAGGAAGGTTATAGGGATCATTTTTAGGGTGTTTAAGATAAGATCACATTCTGCTCCAAGGTATCTAAAGGAGCCTTGCACATTTAATTCAACAAGGCTAAGAGCATAAAACTGTCCACGATATCTTGCTATGACTAAGCAATAATAATTCATGTCTCAGGAAAATAATCAAACTCCCTTTATTCAAATCTTTAAATTATTGCCTTCCACTCGTCAGGAGAAAGACGGGTTTCTTACTCCTGACGAGAACCAGACCCAAACTCATTAACTGCCAGATAGAGAGGCATGATTTGAACCCCGCAATGATTAAGAGTTCATTTGCAGCATTGCAGATTAATGCTTTATATCAGCTTTCTATGCATTGTGCAGAGGACTCTAGCTATTGAATTTGCACATCCATCCATCCATCCATCCATCCATCCATCCATCCATCCATCCATCCAGTTAAGAGTCACAGTTTCAAAGGACACAGTTCTCACTCAGGGGGAGCAGAAGCGTCCAGCGAAGAGAATGCACATGGTGGGGTTATGGCGGATGAAGAAGAGGAAGGGGTGATCTGCGTTGAAGAAGGAAGCACAATCTGCCATAATGCCAGCAGTAGCAGCAGCAGCTTCTGTACCCTCCTCATTCACCTCTACAAAAGCCTTGTGGCAGACTTTGGACAAAAAGAGCCCCTTGTTACTTGACATTCCTGTCATAGATAAAAAAAAAAAAGTTAAATTACAGGATTATAATCCATAACTCTACAGTTTTTTCTATGTACGAAATATCAAATATTTTCATGTAGACTTACTTTCCCCATATAGAGCACTAATCATGAAAGCACTTTTATTGTCTAAAAATTTTAAAAGTAATGCAGAGCTAACTGCAGCTCCAGTGCAGAGCTGCTCATAAGCTCATAGTCTACTTAAAAACATAGCTCACTCTTCTCTATCTCACCAGAGAAGTCACATGTTGATTCTTCAAAAGCGTCAACCATGCCCAAGCTGCGCAGGACCTCATTCAGGTTATACGTTTCCTCCATCTTGAATTGAGGCAGCCTTACATCAATCTCACAGCTTTCCATATCGTCTGGTTGAGTCCACTCCAGGAATTTCTCATAGGTCAGGAGGCTCTCCAGCTGAATAGATTGCATATCAATTAATGAATTTTCTGTGCCTGGGTTGTATAATATAAATCTGGAGGAAGTCCTACCTTTTCTAGACCTGTTGTATCATCTTCTATTTCTTCAGGTAAAAAGATTAGCATGCTCATTTCCATCCCTTTGTAAGGCATCTCCAACACCTGTCCAATAAAAGGGTAATTAGTGCAACATATTAGCTCTTAAATATGCTGGATTCATAGTAAGTCACCAAATAAAGTCTATATCCTTAATGAAGGGACATCAAGCTAAATCATGCAGTCAACTTCAGTTGTAGCGTTGCTTTACATGTGACGTCTCTCAAAGCCCACTTTCCAATTGCACAGGCCAAATAATCACACCACATGTTTCTGCTTACATATTTTCTACTTCCACATCACAGCAGAATTAATTTGTGAGTTCAGAGGACAGAGAAATGCTCTGAGCTCTCCTGAGGAAAATACTCCATATTGGGAAACTAATTCAAGGAGTAAAGGGATCAGATTCAATGCATCAAACTCTAAAACATTATTTACCAAAGATTAAAATATAAACATTAAAAGATTAAAATATAAACATTTTGGTAATCAAACATTTTGTTTGATTACCTGACACTTGACTTCAGGAATGAAGGCAAGGTTGAAGTTACTGCTCTGTTCCATCATCTGCACAGATCTTGTCTCATTCTGTGAACAAAGAAAATAATGACCCAGTTTCCTAACAAAGTACCATCTCCTTCAGGATATCTAAAGTTTTAACAAGTAAGTAAAAAACAGAGTTTTTTCTTAAACAAGATTGAGGAGATTGAGCATTTTGTGCATGTAGTTCAGGGGTCGGCAACCCAAACTGTTTAAAGAGCCATATTGGACGAACAAAACCAAAACAATTCTGTCTGGAACTGCAAAAATGTAAAAGTTTTATATAAGCCATGTATGGCAACACAAGCTCTAAGAGTATTAGCCCACTTTAAAAGAGGACTACATGGGCTTAAATATATAATAAGCATTCATGATTAAATGATTATCCTGAAGCAAATGTCTCATCATGTTACCACTCTGCTGTACGATATTCAGTGCTTTAAGTTTAAATTCCATTACAATATTAATGTATTATGTTTTATTGCATTGATGAAATTATAGAAACAAAATAAAGATTTCCGGTGTTATTTTTATTTTGAGGATTTGGGGGGGAAAATGGAAGAAGATCTACATACCTGGATAAGAGCACTACCTGTTTGATATTTTCCATGTTGCAACAAAACTAGCAGCAGCAGTGGAGATTGGTGATGAAATCTACTTCTTGAATCTGTATTTGCTCTGCTGTGATTTATACAGAAGCACTCCAGTCGCACTTTTTCTCTCACTAACAACTTGGTGGTTGGAAATGCACCTCCAAATTACTCTATTTATTGCTTGACAACTTCTCGTTACAAAGCAAACATGCAAGCAATCCTTCCTTATTGGTAATGAAAGCAAATGATTCGGTCCATTCTTCTTTGAATCATCTGTTCTCATCAGCTATCTTCTTTTATCCCTTTGGGATCCTTGCCCCAAGACACACCCGCCAGTTTGTTAATAACAGTCACCTGCCTGACACTGCGCCGCGCTGAAACGTGTGTTGCAGGCTATGATGCAAATCTTTGTTGACAGAAATTTTATAATTTATTATTTAAATTTATTTATCATATAAATGTTTACAGCACTGGAAAGATAATGAATGTTTGTTTAATGACTTGCACATCGTATGAAAAGAAATACAAAAATAAACAAAAAAACGTCTTTTTCCATTTTCATACATTTTTTTTAAAAAGCACAGGGGAGGCTCAAGTGGAGGCATTAAAGAGCCGAATGCGGCTAAAATGGGACACTTTACCATATGCCATACCACATGGAAAACTAAGGTGATGGGTCCCAATGGTAAGTGAAAAATATGCAGACCACAGCTGCCCCATTTGGACAAGAGACGCCCATCAATTCCCTAAAGCCAGGCCTTGGAGGTAAACTCCTTGATGAATGCCTAATGGTCTAGCTTTTGGTCCTGTGGGCTAACTGGCTCAGCCTTTTAAATATCATCAATGTAAGATACCTTCTTATGGTAGGGTCTCCATTGCAAACTGGTTTCATTGGCTTTAGGGGAAATAAAACTACTAACTACTATATTTTTTTACTATATTTTCTTTTTGGGAAATGAAACATCCCCTCAGTCGATGAAAAAGTTATCAAGTTGAACAGACTGAACTATTTACAGCTTGGTATAATTAAAGGTATTGTAGAGAATTTTCACAAGTTTTTCAGAAGACTCGCCCTCTCCACTTGAAAAAAAAAATGCACATGCACAACCCTGTACCCGCTCCCGAGAGGGAACCTCTATTAAACGGGTGCCAGAGCGTGCACAACCCCATTTGTCCTCGTGCACGCTCTGTTTAAAAGTTGCTGTTCTCATAGCTAATACAAGCTTACTGTGCCCAAATGTCCGACCTAACCCCTAAATCCCTCAATCACTATATAGAGCGGGGACGATATGCTGAACTTTGCAGCAAACTCGGCTAACTTACCGTTCGGATAGATGATCACAGCTTTTTGCTCCCCGTTGGTCACATAACTCCTCTTTGACTTGCCGCTGTGAGATCAAATCCCATAATGCTTTGTGAGGAGACCTCCTGCACAAAGCACTCCGGGGTATATCTGCCTCTTCTGAGGCCTTTCTTTTCTTGTCATACACTTCATAGACAATTTTTCTCTTACTGTATGACCCTCAGCCATTTTCAAAGAACCTCGGTAAGAAAGGTGAGCTTCCATAACTGTCTGAAACCGCAGCTCACCACAGATATATGCCTGAAAGTGAGCATGCACAGAAAAAGACAGCTAACGGGATGGGCACGTAGGACGGCATTACGTAAACATATCACCAGAACGATTGACAATTAGGAACACTTATTTAGATTATCCACCTTGAAATAAAAGGTAATCCTCTATACCTTTAACTCCACAAGCACCTTGGGTTTTGAAGGCCAAATGATAAAGTTTCCAAGTAAGAAAGGCATTGAGATCCTCAGTGGTTGGGTGCTATGGATTTAGGATCAGATCCCAGTCATCATCTACTTGAACGACCAAGGGGGTTCATAAGTGTAGTTAGTAAGGGGTCAGCTTATATTTTTCCAGCATTTTGCTAACATATCCTCAGACCTTTGGAGTTCTGTGTGTTTATATGGTAACACATACACCACTGACCTAATGCATTGGTAATGTCAAGAAGAAGATTCTGCTTCTTTAGTTTACACTCCTTATACTTTAAGCAAGGTTGGACTATAGCTGGAGACGTTTTGAAGGAGGATTCTGATAAGTATTGAATGTAAGATTTAAGGCATATTCAGCTCAATCGGGGCTGCCTATTTTTACAGACAAAATATTCATTAGAATGACTCTGTCAGGATTTGTTTGTGGGTTGAGGACCCAAAAGCAGAGGGAGGAAGAGGTGAATTTATGGTTGGTTTAATGAAGAGTAACTGAAAAAACAGGAAACCAAGAATCCAAAATAAAAACTAAGTCCAAAAAACAAACAAGAAAAGAGGAGTCCAAAATTCAAAACATGAAAAAATAAGAAGAAAACAAACCAGAAAACCATGGAGCCGTCAGAGAATCAAAACTCAAGGAGGAAGGCTCAGAGAGACGAAGTTGGAGAATGTGAGTCGAAGTTAGATGAGGACCCAGCAAAGAGGAACTGCAGAGAGAGGGCTTTTAAATGAGACAGAGAAAAAGAGAGGGCTAATGAGAAGATTGGGAACAGGTGAGGACAGAGCAGAAACAAAACAGGAGCTAGGGAGAAAGGAGAACACAAGAGGGCAGTAGAGGACAACAAATGAAAAACCTGGCAGACTGGAAATAACTACAAAACACAACAAAATAATAATTAAACCACTAGGACTAAAAAACATGGAGAAAAGTAAAACTAAACACTCAAAAGAAAACATAACAGAACCAAGGCTAGTACAGTGACTGAAAAAAAAAAACAAAGAAAGTAATAAACTAAGAATTAAACCATAAAAACTAGGAAACAAGAAGAAAAGCAAAACTGAATACTCAAAAAAAAAATATGTCAGAAAACAGACACATAACAGACTCAAAAGGCTTGGTCCTGGAAGAGGAGGCTGTCCATTTCTAAATGGAGTTATTGCAAAAGTAATTTTGTTGTCAAAGGCCAACTGTGAGGATAGATTAATATTGGCCTGAAAACACTTTGGAAAAATCACTCAACATTTATACAATAAATTCTTTTACCAATTACTATTAAATTAAGATATATTTCATTGAAGTAAATTAATAGTCAAAGAGCATCTGACTGACCTTATTGAGTTTAAACTCAGCCTTACAGGTGCTGGATTTTGGGAAAGCTTTATTCCAGTTGCCTTTGAAGTAGATGGCATTAACCAAGACCATCTTGGTGTTGTTGTTCACCATGCCATCACTCACAATATCTTTGATTTTACCTGGTAACAGTATTGAACAAAAAGGAACAGATGATACCAAACACTGCAGATAATGCAACTTTTAACATCACAGCAACATTGCCCCACCAGATCATCATCTTCAGAATCATTGTGTGTGGTTATGTACAGAGTGACAGTGTGTTTACATGTGATCCACCTTGTGTCTGCTCCTCTACCCAGCTGTTGATCTTGACCCTGACCTCATCCCAGCAGGTTTTGAAGTCCACAGACTCTAGCTTTGAGTGGAAGTGAGTTTTGGTTTGGGTTATGAATTCCTAGGAAAACAAAGAAAAAAACAGTTTCTTGACTTCATCATTAAAAACAACCACCCAGAATTCCTTATCTATTGATATTCTATGATGGGAAAATGATATACGCCTTGTACAGTTTCAGTTATTTCCTAAAGTTGCGCAATACTTCCATTTTTATACAATACTAACAAGGCTGGAAATTCCCTTTCCTGTTTTTGGGGGGACAATAAACAAGACATTTCTAAAAAAAGAAAAAAAAAAGTTTGAGGGTTTTAGCAAAGCTAGAGCAAAATAATATGTTTTTAAAATGTATAGACAGAATCTTATCAATGCTTTTTCCATTTCTGTTGACAGAAATGTGGACACAACTAGCTGGTAGTTTTTTTCCTGTAAAATTTCCTGTCACTGGCTAGCTGACAAATTTTTCACTTTAAAACATAAATTTTTCACTAGAAGGAGACTATTATAACTGTCCTTGATAGAAACTGATGCTAACTAATGTATTCGAAGCAACTAATCCATTGATATGGCTTTGGCTAAGACTGGAATTGTCCGTTTAGATGCCCTCACTTTGAGAGGGACTGTTTTTTATGATAAAATCTGCACAGGAACTGGGTGTGGAAGCAATGTGCCCTATGACCTCCATCGCTACCAAATAATAAGGACTCCCTTCACCTTTATTTAAAAGCTGTAAGAAGAAAAAAAAAACACAGAAAAGAGTGTATTTTTGTTCCTTCCTAAAATACATGAACACGTACAAAGAAAAGCGGCTGCTCTATGGTATTCCAATTAAAACTATACAGAGACGTTTCAAAGGGACATCCAAAAGCTCTATAATTGCTCTGATTAAGGTGGCTGTACGTTGCATTGAGTTTCTGCCATGTGTTTGGCTGATTAGAAATTTGTCTTAGCAAGCAGTCGGACACTTTTACCTTATATAGTGGACAATGAGTGTATATTTGCTTATATAAAAAGACATTGTCTCCATCACCTGAATAAAATGGTAGGACTGCTCTCCATACAGTCTGTTGGCAACACTGAGAAGAAACCGAGTGTCTGGATGGTTGAGCTCATTCAGAAGTTTGGCAAACTGAATATGGAAATCATTCTGACAATCCTGGGTCTTCAAGCACTGTGCACAGCAAAGATTGGGGCTGATACATGAAGACAATTTAGGTAAAAATTATAACTAAGTAAAAGCTTTGGGTAGATAATCTAATAACCAGTTAATGTACCAGATAATAAAGAAAGCCAGATATTACCTCTGACATCTGTGTGGCTGTATTTGTTTTGGCTCCCAGCATCACCATAGCAAGCGCTCCAGAGATGCTGAACGGAGAGAAGAAGATATTTGAAGTATTATCGTCCACACTCAGCTTTCTGAATAGATCCAGAGCGAAGGTGATGTTGGCCTTGGATAGATGACTGGGGGAATGCATCATGTCTGTTATGAAGAGCAGGTAAAGTAGTCATTTTGAGGCCATATTACATCAGAAGAAACAATCAGCACCATATGGAGCCCATGCAAGAAGAAAAATTTGACTACTTTTACCACAGTTTTTTTAAAAGTCGTTTGTGTATGAGGTAAGAAAAAAAAAACCTTTGCTACAATAGTCACTGACATTATTTTAGTATTCCTTTGGGCTGTAATTTTTTTCACAAAACCGTGATGCACTTGTGTATACATATAGTCAGGTGTCAGTCAGGTATAGTCAAATTACCCAAATTCACCTAAATACCCTTAAAACCTAATCCTTAAAATGATCAATCAAATTAATAAGGATCACCTTCACGTGTTTTCAGGTTCTTTTTAAGATTAAAATTACAAACTCAATATTTTGTCTTGGACAACGTAACAACGTAAAGATAGTGATCTCGCAACATTACAGAAAAAGCTATACATCATCACCCAATACATTGTACTTCGTATGTCACAAAAAGCTATCCAACAGTTCCCTGGTGCCAAGCAAGCTTACACATCAACTTGATGAGTTGCAAAGGAAGATATCTTGGCCAATGTGTGATTTGTGTGTGGTTGGGGTACCTTAAGAGTATAGTGGTAGATCATCAAAATAAGTGGTCCTCCTAATTGTCAATCATTCTGGTGACATGTTTACATAGGCCGTCCTACGTCATCCCCATTTTCACTTACTGGTGGTGAGTCTGACATAGTGGAAAAATTGCAGATGTTATTTTGAAAAGTAAGCTTGTATGAGCAATGCAAACAGCAACTTTTAAACAGAGCGTGCACGAGGAGAAATGGGCTCGTGCATGCTCTTGCACAGGTTAATTAGGCATTCCTCTGTAGCAGGTGCAGGGTTGTGCATGTGCATATTTTTTTTTTAAGTAGAGAGGGCGGATCTTTTAAAAAACTCCTCCACAAATACCTTTAATTATACCAAGCTGGAAATAGGTCAGCCCGTTAAACTTGATAACTTTTCCTGCTACTGAGGGAATGTTTCAATTTTACCCCCAAGGCTTGACTTTAGGGAATTGACAGGTGTCTCTTGTCCGAATAGGGCTCACTGGTTGTTGTTGTCTGCATATATTTACCATTCTGACTCATCACCTTAGTTTGCTTGTATTAGCGATGTAAGCAGCACCTTTTAAACAGAGCGTGCACAAGGAGAAATTGGCTCGTGCATCCTGTTGCACAGGGTAATTAACCCTTGGAAGTGGGTGCAGGGTTGTGCATGTGCATTTTTTTTTCCAAGTGGAAAGAGCAGGTCCTCTCAAAAATTCACAAAATCCTCCACTATTCATTTTTAAAAGAAAACTTGCCTTTATGCAAGGCATTTCAGACAAAAAACAATAGGTATTTAAAATATCTCTGTCTTTGTTTCTGTCATGTATCAAACACACAGAGACACTGTTATTCAAGACTGTACTGAAAGAGAGAATGAGTCTATAGGTGAACGTCCTTCTCCAGAGCTATCAAAGTCATTTGGTTTTGATTGCTCGATTCACAAAAAGCGTCATATTCCCATACTCATTGGCCAGTCTAACTTTATTTATGTACACATGTAACAAGACACTTTACCTGTAACAAAAAATATTATGCTGTTAACCATCACTGTTTTAATGTCCTTTAGAGACTAATATACAGGTTTTACTTACCGTCAGATCCAAGTCTTGATCAGGACTGATTCAATGGCAGAGAGATTCCTCTCTTCAGCATAATATTCAGTTGACGCAAGCTCAAGTTGACGCATGTCTTCAAAGAGGAAAGTATTTTCATCCACGTGTGTAAAAGCTCCTTTGTGATTGGTCCTCTTAGGAGAGGTTGGTAGATGAAACAGGATCTAGGCCAGCAATTTGTTTTCATTGGAAATGCAAGTCAAAACTTCTTTATGTTTCTATTATTAGAATGTTTTTTGTTTTGTTTTTTATATTTTGGCATCTAAAAGCAGAGAGGTTTGTGAGCAGCTGTGGATTGTGGACTGCCAGCCATGGTTCTAATTCATTCCCTGCTTCAAGGATTATCGGGTCTGTCCAGGTAATAAGATGAGTTACTCGAGCCCAATTTATTATAATTATTTTTAAAAAAAAATTATGTAGATAAAAACAATAACAACTCATAGAGAGGTCTTGTCCTGTTAGTTTTAATAGAGCTTCCCATGAACAGCTATTTATCATTCCTAACATTTCTGTGGTTAAGTGAATGTGAAAGCAGCTCTATAATGCTGAAATACCAGCTGGCAGATTCATTTCATGACACCAACAGTTCCTGTAACTTGTAAAATGTCATCAAAGAAACCCATCGAACCTTCTGGGAAAAAGTCCAACCACACACTGCTAAAACTATCTGGAAATACTTAATTAATTAACGTAAGTAATAATTATTTACCCTTAATTTGAGTAATCAAATAAGAGGATTTGCAAATGGAAATAGTATTTTTACCCATAAATAAGATAATTAGATAATATGCACTTGAAATAAGACAATGTAATAGTTTTTTCTTATTTTAAAATTTAATTGTTTTGTTCCATTGGCAAAGTGTATCACTTGCCTCCTCAATTCAAGACTAAATGTACTTATTTTGCAAAATACTATCAATTAACAATTTCAAAGGAACTTAAAAGGGGAAAAAAAAGAAAAACATTTGCAAAAAAATCACAAATTTTATGACTAACTGTAGTACTCCAGTCATCTCATCAAGTGAGTCCAGGCTTAACATGATGACTTGATGAGATGAATGGAGTCTGGTGAGCTATTGCTTGGTTGGAAAGAAAACCTGCAGCCACACGGCCCTTTCTGGAACCAGTTAGAGACCCCTGGTTTAGACCAAGATTTCATGGTTCTGCAGACAGAAGGCTGAGTAATGAAATAATTATTTTGCATGGCTGCGTCTTCTCATTGCACCCCAGCACCACCTGCCAGGACATTTTGCTTTGGTTCCTGAACCAATCGGAGAAATCTGCTGCTCTGTCATCTATGAGGCAGCTTTCCGGCCTCCGAGAGTGTAAGAATGATGTGGCGGTGGGGTACCAGTTCAGGGCGGGCGCTGATGGAGGCGTAAGGCTCAACTGCAAACAGACCTGCAGGTGGAGACCACAGCAGACTTACGGTCCTCTAAGCAGCCTTTAAATGTCAACGTAACAGAGTTTCTTCTGTAATCCTAGTGATGAGGATGAGGAGCTGTACGAGAAGCTGTCCAGTGAGCAGTGGAGGCTGGAGTGTCTGATGCACCTGATGGCTCAGCTCAAGGACTCAGACCTGCCTGGGGATTTCTTCCTGGAACTGCTGCAGGTAGAGAAGCTCCCACTAGAGTCAGTCCAACCTTGTACACTAAAAAAAATTGCACTTATAAAGAAAATATGCAGAATGTTCTGCAGTATTGCACCTTCCATGCCCACGGTGGGCAAATATTATGCAATTAGATAATATTCAGACTGTCATATATTGCTCTGTGAACAAAAGTTCCTCTGGCTGTGTGTCAGAACAACATATAAGTGTGAATCGAGCTCAAATGATGGTCAAACAGATAATTCTGCACATACATGGAATAAATTCACCACAACTTCCATTACAATATAAGGGTTTATTTACAAAAATCATTTAGCTCCAAGTCCGACAGATTTTAGTAAATAACTAAACTAAGCTAATATAACCACAAAGAACAAGGAATAAAACTGGAAGTAAAGCAATGATATCACAGTTCAGCAGGATTTTTTTTGAGAACTACAGTTTATCTATGGTGGGGATTTGTTAAAGCTACAGTGTGTAATAATTACAGGCATATAAAGTCAGAAATTTAATATATTATACATAACTATGTTATTTATCATCACCTATGAGCTCAGCCTTTTAACCATAATATTTGCGTTGCCTTAGAATTCGTTATTTATAATTACATAGGAGCGGGTCTCGCAGCCATGGAGGAAGACATCTTTGCGCTACGGCAAGCGCAGAGGCAACAAACTAGCGATTGCGAGATCGCCCATTACGCTCGAAAATAACTACGGCAAGTTGAGAGAGATGAACTGAGACGGTACTGAACAGTAGATGGCAGTATTATGCCTGAGAAGCGTTTAGTCTGCCTGAAACCAAAGAAGAAGAAGAAGCACGTATACTGCGCCTCAGTAACAAGAAAGGTGAACAAGGCGGCAGGCGTGAGTGACTTTGCAAACTGTTTGGCACTGTGTGGCCAAATATCAGACGAATGGAGGATCATGCCTACTCTGTATCACAACGAAAAGCGGCGGACACCAAACCCCCGTCATCTAAGAAGCGGAAACACGACGAGAATAAACGCAAGCGTCACAAGAAACGACAAAAATAACGGATCAACATTGGCACGGCATTTACACGATGGAAGTCACTGATGGAGGAAAAAGGTTTTCAAAGTGACGCTCAAGTTGCCAGTTTTCTCTTGGACAGGTAATTAATCCTACACACACAATTGTCTAATATCTGCAGTTTTTGGAGTACAGGATGCTCAGACCTGTCTAAAACAATACCATGCTGCGTGATGATGCTGTTACTCTCCAGTATACTTATTCAGCAACGTCCCTGACGTTTCACAGGTAATGATTCAGTAATTTTCTTTAAAATAATTTTCTGGATATATACCTCGGTTACTTCTCTCCGGCTCCTTTGGAGATCTTCAAGCCTTTCCTCCTCTGCTCTCACCCCGCTGGCTCCCCTCCCTCGCCTTGTAACCCCCGTGCCACAAACATGACTTGGACTCTGTAAACGGGGAATATATATTCTTCCAGCGAACACAATCTCGCTGTTAAACTAATGACTACAATTACTTCCTCTGTTTATATCACCATGCAAAGCAGCTCACCAAAACGTCACAACGACGTAGAAAAAATAACGGGTATATTTATTATCTTAAGTCTACATGAAATCTATACCCTACACAGACTAATGAAATACTATCTGTAAAATTATCTATGTAAACAAACCTCATCACTTGAGAAGGTAGGTGATTCCGACGTTGTGGAAGACATTTTGTCCCGTAACGCTCGCCGTACTGTTGGGGGGGAGAAGCGGTGGGGGGGAGACGTTCATGTTGCTGCAGTCTGCAGTCTGACCGCTAGATGTCGCTGAAAATTACACACTGTAGCTTTAATGTCCAAAAAATCTTAAGCAGAGTCAAACTTTAAAGAATGGCGCCACTTTGTGGTGAAATTCTGCTATTACACACCAAGGGGCCGGATCTATCAAAGGTTTGCGTGTATAAAAACGTGAGCTATTTCACCGCGCACGCTAAAAAAAATGTACAAACTGATCTATCAACAGCGTGCTAAATGGATTTGGTCTTTAAAACGTGCTAAATAGCGCCTCTTATCCATTTAGTACTTTTCCTGCAATGAATATGCAATATGGGGCGTTTACACGCAAAAGTGCGTCTTGTGGGAGGAGAACATGTAAATATATTAATTTAGCACTCGCAAAGTGATTTATTAAACCTGAAAGCAATTTTGCTAACGGTATCTGACTCTATATTTAACACGTTTCAAAAGAAGGTGCAAATGTATGGGAGAATTATCCTGCCATAATGCAAGAGCACATAATTTCAATTTGAGAAAAGAATTTCATTTTCTTGCACTCAAAACTTATAATGCTCACACTCAAAACATGCGCTCTCTCTCAAATATTTTCTCTTCTCTCTCAAATCTTTGTTTCTTCTCTCAGATTTAATGCTTCTTGCACAGATATTTTCTCCTCTCGCTTGCCTCCTTCTCTTCGCGCACAAACCGCGCTCTTCTCGAGTCTCAGTTACGCTCGCAAACCCGTAGGCTCTGCTTGCGTATTTTTTTTGCTCTCTCTGGGATTGGATCGGATCGTCGCTTAGCAACCTTTCCAGCCAATAGAACGACAGCCTCGGAAAGGGCGCAGATTATGTGTTTTCACATCCACCTCAAAAATATGTAGTTGCGCCCCTGGTCCTATCGGTTTTCCCATCATGCTTCCAACCATTTCCCAGTTTAAATCTTTCACTTCCAGATATTTTCTGCAGCTTTCACTATTATTTTGATTTTTTCGGGGGGGTTTTGTCGTCTGTGCAGTACAATTAATCACTTCCACCATGAATAGAAAAAAATCTCTCTTTTTAACAATTAGTGAATCTTCTTTAATTTTGGGACATTTCTCCAGAGGTCTTGAATTTGCCATGTGTTTAACTGTTGGTTTGGTTTATTCTAACTGAGATGGAATCCTTTTTGCAGCTTCAGCTTAAGTTATTTCTTTATTTCCTCAGACCTTTTGCTTGCTTCACAGCCACAATATGCAGCAGTATGTTCTCAACCACAGTTACAGCATTTGATTTGAGCTTCTTTTCCACATTTTCCATATTCGTGTTCTCCTGCACACCTTCCACATCTCTGTTTTCCTTTACAAACTGCTGCTATGTGTCCGAATTTTTGGCATTTGAAAAATCTCAAAGGTAGAGGATTGTAGATTTTGACATTATAGCTGATGTAACCAATGAATACTTTACTGGGTAATTGCTCTTCCTCGAATTTAATGAACACAGATAAACCGTCAGATCTTTCTCCGTTTTTTGTTGTTTTTAACTGTTTTACTTCTTTTACTTTTGCACCACTTATGTTTTCTAGAATTTCCTTTTCAGACACTCTTAGAGGAACTCCTCCAATGACTCCCCTGCTGATCTTTTTGTTCTCCACTAAGCTGCAATGAACTCTTATCCCGTCAATTATGTTAATCCGAATGGCTTTGCCTTGCTGGGCGCTGTCTCTGCCGTTGATTAACAGGTTTCCACTGTACAGGATTCTGGCACCTCTCACTTCTCCTACTAGTTTATTTATGGTTTTTGTTAAGTGAACCGGATTCCAATTTGCAAAAGAGTCTGCCTGATTAACGACTTTGAATATGACTTTGTACTCATTTTGTTTTGCTGTGGAATGTGTGGATTGATCATTACTTGATTGTTCTGAACTGGACTCCCCTTTAACTGATCTCTGCTTTTTCCGCTTTTTCTCATTTTTTGATGTTGCTATCTTCCAACCTTCTTCATTGTCACTATTTCCCTCTTCCATCCCACAAGAATGGCTTCCTGTTTCCTCACTACTTACAGCCCAGGCCATTTCTCCACAAGCGGCTTCGAAACACGTACCATGCACCCGTGGCCTCCACCTTTAAAACCATTCCTGTTTTGATGGTCGTCTCGTTGTTGCCCCTCTAGTGCACCTGTTGTTATTTTAATTAACACCAAAGCAGCTGAAACTGATTAACAACCCCCTCTGCTACTTACCAGACCAAATCAATATCCCGGAAGTTTAATTAATTTGATGCTATAGTCTGATTACACAGTGTTACTTTATTTTTTTTGAGTAGTGTATATATACACTCACCGGCCACTTTATTAGGTACACCTGTCCAACTGCTCGTTAACACTTAATTTCTAAGCAGCCAATCACATGGCGGCAACTCAGTGCATTTAGGCCTGTAGTGTAGACATGGTCAAGACAATCTCCTGCAGTTCAAACCGAGCATCAGTATGGGGAAGAAAGGTGATTTGAGTGACTTTGAACGTGGCATGATTGTTGGTGCCATAAGGGCTGGTCTGAGTATTTCAGAAACTGCTGATCTACTGGGATTTTCACGCACAACCATCTCTAGGGTTTACAGAGAATGGTCCAAAAAAGAAAAAACATCCAGTGAGCGGCAGTTCTGTGGGCGGAAATGCCTTGTTGATGCAAGAGGTCAGAGGAGAATGGCCAGACTGGTTCGAGCTGATAGAAGGGCAACAGTGACTCAAATAACCACCCGTTACAACCAAGGTGGGCAGAAGAGCATCTCTGAACGCACAGTACGTCGAACTTTGAGGCAGATGGGCTACAGCAGCAGAAGACCACACAGGGTGCCACTCCTTTCAGCTAAGAACAGGAAACTGAGGCTACAATTTGCACAAGCTCATCGAAATTGGACAATAGAAGATTGGAAAAACGTTGCCTGGTCTGATGAGTCTCGATTTCTGCTGCCGCGACATTCGGATGGTAGGGTCAGAATTTGGCGTCTACAACATGAAAGCATGGATCCATCCTGCCTTGTATCAACAGTTCAGGCTGGTGGTGTCATGGTGAGGGGAATATTTTCTTGCCACTCTTTGGGCCCCTTGGTACCAATTGAGCATCGTTGCAACGCCACAGCCTACCTGAGTATTGTTGCTGACCATGTCCATCCCTTTATGACCACAATGTACCCAACTTCTGATGGCTACTTTCAGCAGGATAATGCGCCATGTCATAAAGCTGGAATCATCTCAGACTGGTTTCTTGAACATGACAATGAGTTCACTGTACTCAAATGGCCTCCACAGTCACCAGATCTCAATCCAATAGAGCATCTTTGGGATGTGGTGGAACGGGAGATTCGCGTCATGGATGTGCAGCCGACAAATCTGCGGCAACTGTGTGATGCCATCATGTCATTATGGACCAAACTCCCTGAGGAATGCTTCCAGCACCTTGTTGAATCTATGCCACAAAGAATTGAGGCAGTTCTGAAGGCAAAAGGGGGTCCAACCCGTTACTAGCATGGGGTACCTAATAAAGTGGCCGGTGAGTGTATATGGACATAAGAAGTAGATTAAGTTTAGGGGTTCCCACTGAAGGCCTAGGAAACGAGAGAAGAGAACATGAAATATTCTGTGGTAAGATTTAGCCTCAGTTCCTGCTCTTTTCTCGTTTATCAACCCTGTCAAAACTCAGCATCTTTTCCCAGCCTTCCTCTTCCTGACTGGCTCATTCTTACACATCTTTTAGGCACTTTTGAACGTGTTCCACCAGCTTTTGACAGACAAGGGACCCACAAATGTATGGCAGGGGGGACTGGTGCTGTTTAAAAATTCTGCATGAAAAGCCATTCCATACCAACAGGTTCCTGTCAAATGAGCTAAAGATCAGCAAAAGGCTCTCCCAGAGTGAGACAAACATTTGCACTTTTATAAATCTGTTCATTTTTACTCTTTTTGACTTGAACTCTAACAGTTGCTGCTCTTTCCCCTTTAATCTTTCAGGATGCAGAATTTTCTAACTAAATCTGGCAAAGTCGAAGAGAAGAGCCCCACCTGGAGGAGCTGTTGCGCCATCAGTGTGTTGTCAAAAAGAATAAGACAGAAGACAATTTTTACTATTGTTCATTACCAGGAAGTTCACACCAATAGCTGCTGGGTTTGCCCAGATTTTCTGATTTCCCTCTAATTCTGGAGCCTTAATTTAATTTATTGTTTGTTACTTTGGTTCACATTTGAAATGTTCTCTTACTTGATTGCAGATCCATACTTTTTTTTTTTTTTTTTAGATTACTCAGGTTCCCAGTCATTATTCTATAAATGTTGGAAGCTTAATATGAGATTAGTGGCTTTCCTCCAAGTACTTAGGTTTCTCCATATTCCAGAATAATCTCTTAGTTTAATTTCAGATTTGTGGCTTTACTTTGGGCGCTCTGGTTATACCACATATTCCAGAAACTTTCCCTAACTTAATTGGTGATTTATACTTTTTCCAGGGTCCTGTTCCCCCCCTTATTCTATAAATTTTGGTAACTTAATTTGGGATTAGTGGCTTTTCTCTGAGCGATTGGGTTCCACCATATTTCTTAGTCATCCCTTACTTCAGTTGCAGTTTTCCTTTGGGTGCTCTAGTTTCACAACTGTTACAGAAATCTTCCCTAACTTGGTCAGAGATTTATACTTTTTTCTTAGGAAATTCAGGTTCCCGTCTTTTTCAATAAATCCTTAAAGTGTAATGCATACATAACATTTCCATGGAACATGACACGTATCAGCCAGGAAAAAGTCTCTCAATTTTTTTTTCCATCTTTTTTTGTGGCATGTTAGGGCTTATAAGTGAGAGCAGTACATTGCAACATGCAGTGAAATGATTAAAGTGAGTTTCGGTAAAGTCACTTGCAAAATCCACACCCAAATTACCTCTTCCTCCTCCCCGGTCAGCTTTTCTCAGTCATATTTGACTGTTCTGCTTAGTCTGAGCTTTTTTAGGTCCGAGCAGAGCTCTACAAGCACATAACCGTTTCTTCGCAATGGCTTTGAAGCAACGGACACTGACCGACACCAGATGGAAAACATGGTGCTTAAATTTCCTTGTCTCTATTGTTTGGCACACACATATTTGTGTTAGGAACTGATTCTAGGCTCTAAACCAGGGGTGCCAGTCCACAAGAGCTACTATCCTGCAACTTTTTGATGCCACCATTTTTAACACACCTGAATCAGATGAGTGGCTCGTTACCAGGCCTCTGCTGGGCTTAATGTGGGGATTGAGCCTTTTTATTCAGGTGTGTTAGAGAAGAAATGCATCTAAAAGTTACAGAATGGTAGCTCTTGAGGACTGGACTTCATCACCCTGCTCTAAACACTAAGTGATATGTGAAAACAGCATGTTTCCCTGGGTTTTATTCATGTCCATTGGGTCAAATGACGCTTCTTGAAAATGCAGGTCAAACATTTCAGAGCAACTAAGCATACTTTAGCTTCCACTTAACTGTCTTAACTACTTTGTAATGATCTAAGAACAGGGAGTTTTCCTCTCCACTGTGTCTACAAGCATGCTCCGTGTGAGGGATTGCTAACATGTGTTGTGAATTGGTGCTATATAAATAAACTGAATCTAAATGAATTAAACAAAAATGTGAGTGTAATTTTTACATACCAAGATGTAAAAAAGAACCAAAAGTATTAAATAAATGTCTTTTTATACATTGCACTGTAGACCTTTTTTTGATGTTGTTTGTATAACTTTTGTATTTGCTTTGCTGCTCAGCAACAGAAAAAGTGTGCATCAGTGAGTGGTTGCTCATTTCCTCTACTTGGTTTCCTATATCTATCGGTACTATGAGTACGTGGAGGTGTGGTTGGGCGTATGATCAAAATCCTCACAGGGACAGATTACCCATAGTCATACTTTTTTGGTCCGATGAATGAAAACCATTGCATAATTGAAAAGTTGCAGATGCAAATTTCTCTGGTATTCAAATTTGTGCAAGCATGCACTTGAAGTCAGTTGCAACATCTTTCCAAGTAAACTTTTATAGTCAAAATATTCATGTGTGTTGCGTCTTACATACACAGAAGAGTCAGCTGTCAGACTCCATGTAATATCATCTGAAAGCAGAGAATGTATCATTATCACTAAATGTTTGCATTTAAAATTCTCCACTCAATGCTTTTGTTTGAAACACTTTGTAAATTTTAGCTTTTTGTATGAATAAATATTTATATCAAAGGTTTTTAAAAAATAAAATATTATCTTTAACAACTCCAGCGAAATGTTCTTCCTATTTTAAAATAACTTCTTTGCTTGAGAGATGATTAAAAACAAACAATTTAGCTATATATATATCTTAAGTAACTGATCAATCTGATAGGATCTGTAAGTTTTATATAACTAATAGATTAGCCACTAATTAGAGATAAACAATGAGCCATCTCAGTTTATCAGACGTGAATAAAGTACTCAAAACAAACAACTACAAAAAACAACTAAGTTAAAGTGAAACATAAAATTACTTTGTTAAGAGCAAAAGTCATTGATAAGAAAAGTACTAAAATACAAGCCAGAAAATTATTCACATACATGGGGCAGTAAAGGTTAAAGTACTAAGTAATTATGTACATAGAAAAGTGAGAAATATATATATATATATATATATATATATATATATATATATATATATATATATATATATATATATATATATATATATATATATATATATATATATATATATATATATATATATATACATGTATGTATGTATGTGTGTGTGGGTGTACCTGTCTAGCCCTTGGAAAAAGGACCTTTTTTCCAATTTCACCATCAAATTGAGGGCCACTTGTTGCAAAGTGAGGACATTTTTATGGTCCTCACATGCTAGTTTGCTAATTGTTAGGTTAAGGGCTAATGTCTCAGTCGGATTAGGTTTAGGGTGAGGTATGCATTGGTAATGGTTAGGTTTAGGGTTAGGGCATAAAAAGGGTTGAAAGTGACTGAAAAATAATGGAAGCCACTGGGAGTCAACACATGGTCCTTACTACAATGGCAGAACGAGTCTGTGTGTGTGTGTGTGGGGGGGGGGGGGGCGTGGATGTGTGTGCATATTTCAAACACTATTATCCTTAAGAATAACATAAAAGCCCTCTTGTGGAATAACTTGCATCCACATGTTCCGTCTGCCTGGGAAAACTAAAAGTGCCTTCTTTAAGAACAGAATAAAACTCAACAGAAAAAAAAATACTGCATTGAATCACAATAACTTACTAGAATTACTTACTGGTAACTAGTAAGTGACTGACTAATCAGCTTCTTTTTTAAAGACTCTGGTCCAAAGAGTATAACTTCTGTTTTGTCTGCATTAGAAGGAGAAAGTGTAGTTCTTCTCTATGCTGATTCAACATAAACAGATTCTTTCATGATAAATTTATATTTCAATTTGAAGAAAGTAAAAATGTCTCAACAAATAATGTACAGTTTTTCTGTCTGTAATGTAAAATAATAAAAGTAAAAGTCTTGATTTATAATACATAGTAAAGTATAGGTCCTCAAAAAAGGACTCAAGTTCTTTAACAAAGTAAAGGTACTGAGTTACACCTCAGGGTTTTTTAATTCAATCAGTCTGTTGGTTTAGTGGTTTGTTTGCTCTGTCTTCAGATTTCCTTTGTGAATTTTTATTTTCCTTGTCCAATTTTGATTAACATACAAGATAATCTAATCTAATCCTCCTCCACTCCTGCAGATCAGCTCTGAGAAACAAAGAAGATACTGATTACACAGAAAAGCTGTGCAATCAGCTACAACATGGGTGTGTATACTGTTCAGTAAAGGTGGGACACTGTTTAATGTGAATAAAGCTGCAGGCTCTTCACTCAAAACAGCTTTGAGGCTTACATTCAGCAAACAAAGTTCTCTATAAAACTCTTTAAGAATATTAAAGAATTTGGAGCTTAGGTTTTACTTCTCATCATTGGTCAATTTGCACCAAAATAGCCCTAGTTTTCTAGAGAGAAAAGAGATCGTAGAAGAAATGTATCCCTGTGTCGGTTTAAACTTTGATAACAGCCAATGAAGTTAAAATGATATGTGATAACAGATAGAAAGCAGATAAATAGACAGTTATACGATAGAGATCAGGATAAAAGCTTTTTTTTTTTTTACAGATCTGATATCAGTTTAATCTCTATTCCAGTTTTTGTATATACTAAAATCCCATTAGGTTTTTGAATATTTTACTGATGTAATTTTTTTAATCTTCCTTGTTGCTTTGCTTTTTTTGTTGTTTTTTTTCTTCTTCTTATAGAGAAGTGCTTAGGAGCTTTACTATCATTATTAGAATAAGGTAATAAAAGCAGGAAAGGCGACTGAAAAACAAATTTAATTCAAACATTATTATCATTATTATTATTATCATCATTATTGTTATCATTATTATAATTATTATCTTAATTATTATAATTTTTGTTATTGTTGTTGTTGTTTTTATTATTATTATTATTGATAGTAGTAATTTGCAAATTAGTGGTTGTAAAAGTAGCGGTTTGTTTTCTAAGCTCCGCGCAAAGCTACTTTTACCTGGTCTCTCGGCTTCCGTACAAAGGCAAAGACATTTGCGGAAGTGTTTTTGTGTCGGGGCGTGTCGGCTTGTCAGATATAAAAACCAGTGAATAACCTGTGTCATTCTTCATGTGAGTCTAACTCTTGCTGAGGAACAAACGGAGATCATCTAACAGTGAGTGCTTTTGTGAGAAAATCTGTATTTCCCTGTGATTTTACGGCTTAAAGGGCACTGATACATTTTTACCCTGGCTCCTTTGTATCCAATTGCAGTTTAACAGCTACCTTTATATATTAGATCAGAAAACGAAGGGTGATCTGGGTTTGATATAACAAAATGAGTGGTGTTCATTTAAAGCTGGAGTTTAGTGGATGGTTTGGTTTGAAAGATTGTTTTTTTTATTGTCCTACAGGCAGGATGGCAGCAGCAACCCCTCTGACTACAGCCAACACCACCTTCTCTCTGGCTCTGCTGAAAAAGCTGAGTGAGGACAACAGCACCTCCAATGTCTTCTTCTCTCCTTTCAGCATCTCCTCAGCTCTGGCCATGGTGATGCTGGGAGCCAGAGGCAACACAGCCACCCAGATGTCAGAGGTACAACATCCTCAACTCATTAATTTCCTTCAGCAGAGAATATCATCACTCCATTGAAGAGATGGTTCAGAGATGCCTTTTTAATGTAGTTTCTGCTAAATTGAAAGTCGTCAACATCTTGCTTGCAATGGATAAATCTCATTGCATCTTATAGGCTTCACTTTAAATACCCAGTTTATACATAATGTTATATTTATTTATTAAAATCCAACATACATTAGTAGTAAAAGGTTTCTACCAGCTCATTTTTTAATGGCTTTTCCTTAGTTTTAGTACGTTCTACATTGATGCATATAGGGCTGCAATTCAGACTATGAAAAGGCTCTAAATAGATCCTCTTTGCCTTTTTAGTTTTAGTATCTTTTAGATATGGAATTTAATAAGAAAGGGAGGGAGTGGCAGCTAAAAGGTCAGGGCATAGAGCTTGGAATCCTGAGCCCCACTCCCACAGACTGCCACTCTGGGTGTCTGAGCAAGACCCCCACACTGCTCCCTGGGTGCCCCACAATGGCAGCCCACTGCACCCCTTATTCATAATTATAAGAACTAAATTCAATAATAGGCATATGCAGATTAGGCCTCTTTGTTTATGTTTATACATGTACTTTTAACATGTAAACCCTATAAATGGTGTCTTTTGAAGTCAGTTTTTACCTGGATGGGAGACACCAATGCAACAGCAAACATCTATCACCGCCTTAATGTAGACGGGGCCTAAATAAAGATTCGTTGGACCTACATTAGTTACAGTTAGGGTAGCATTTGATATCAAAATAAACTGACATTCAATGCAGAAAATAGTTCTATATTTAACACAGGAAGATCACATATAATGTACCAACTCCTACCTCTACTTTCTGTTACAATTGCTAGCTGCTGTTTGTGCATAGAAAACAATTATCTGTTAGCTTCACAATGCAGAATATTTATACTAAATAAAGAAGCAAAATGTGTCTGAACTTCACTTTAAAATCTCTAAATTCTCACTTTTAGTCTTTGTGTTGAATTTGAAAATAGACGAAAGCCCAGCTATGAAATCTTCTACTTGTTGCTGTTCTTTTTTTTTCCAGAGTTTTCAAATTATTTCTGCTGAAATTCAACATCTATTTTTTTTTTTTTTATACATATCAGGTTTGTGTTACAATAGGAACAAAATGATTGCTGTAGATGTGTAACAGCAATAAAGTCCTCTATGTTCTTGGATCCCATTATGTGCAGCAGATCTATTTTATGAGGGGCCTCTTCTCAGTGTTCAGTCTGGCACCTCTTTTATTAAGCTTGAAGAGTTTGTAAGCATGCAAAACTCAGTTTCTTCTTCCATTTTCACCTGTTTATTATTCATTCAGCTATTCGGTTATTCCCATAAATCATGAGAGCAAATAATGCAAAAAAAAAAAGGCAGCAGAAAGCTGCAGAAGCATTTTCCAGGAGAGGCTGCTGTAAATCATGTGGAAGTTTACTGAGCTGATAACAAACAGAGCCAAACCACACCTAGGTGCTGTAAAGGTTAGTATGTGGGAGGGGCAGAGCCTCACCCATTATCTGCCTCATCTCTGCTAAAAGAAACAGTACTGTGTAAATCAGGGCTGTTCTCACTGCAGTACATTAATTACGTCACTTTAAAGTAGTTTGTCATTGCTCCTGTTTTTCTAATAAAATGGTAAAACCTTTCAGGTTTGTGTACAGATTATCAATGAGAAAATTGCAGATTTTTTTTTTTTTTTTGACTGTCTCAATTATAAGGAAGTCATTTGATCTACACTAGTGATTATGATCCTTTTGCGATGCTTCCTGGAGGAGGAACAAGCGGCCAAAGCTGTAATAAACCACATAAACAGAGAAAGTGATAAATGTCCTGTTTGTTTGTCCGTGCTGCAGTCATTCAGTAAGTCTTGGCACTGAGCAGTAAAGCAGCTCTAGGATTCATAATAGCTTTGCTGTTGGGAATCTCGGATGATTCAGGCTGTGTTATAGCTTTGTTTTGGAGAGACTATGTTGCCATGCATGTTTCAGCATTAGAGGGAGTGGTTATGGGAATGAAGTAGAAAGGACAATGCAATGAGTCAGCAGTGGAGATTTTGTCTTTTAGCTGGAAAATCACTTGCTGTGCATCGGTCATCTGTTTGCAGCCTGATGGTAGCTCTGCAGAAACCATAGTCTAAAGAAATGTGTAGATTAGCGGCATTGTTTCTATAGGCTTTTGTGTTGTAACTAAAAAAAGTCTTTTTTTTTTATGTATTTTAAGGTTTAGATGTTCCTGTCTCCTCTTTAAATGTGTGCATATTTTAAGGAAGAGGGAATTTTAGTTGTAAGAACAGTTAAGGTTCATTTAAACTCAGTTGTAACAAAAAACTCCACCCTCCCTATTAACAGGGGTTGCTAGGAGATCTGCATAAATACGATAGTTAGACATAGACCATTACATCAGTCAGCCAATATTTATGACCCTTATTTGCATTTTGTTTATATGAGCATATTGGTTGATTGATTATATATATTATTTAAAGTAATTATCCAGCTGTAAATTTAGTTCATAAAACTATTTATCTATATATCATATTCATCCATTAGTAAGATTCTGTTTATAATAGTATTCATCTTTATACTTACCCAGTAGAAACCCATGTCCTGTATTTATGGAAGCATTATTTATCCTGCTCTTGTTGCTATTGCACTTCTGGTTAGACCTAAACTGCATTTCGTTGCCTTTTACCCTTGTAATGAAAGTAAAGTTGAATCTAATCTAATTAGTCTTAGATAGATTACATAAAATTAGGGCAGGGTATTTTCGCCAAAGTCCTGAATCGATTCCATTTTGACTAATACAGTTCAAAATCGATTCATTTCAATTCGATCTGTTTTTACGATAATGAAAGTGGTTAAATTGTGTTTCAAAATACTGAGAGTTTAAACTTGAGATGTGAACAAAACTGTCCCATTAGTGCAAACTTGTTTGTGAAAAGTGAAAAAGTGAAGCCTCACTCGAGCAAGCAGACGTGCATGAGCTGCATCATCTTCACTGCACAAACTATATTTGCAGCGTTGTCTGTAACAACTACAGGGTGTTTTCTGGTCAGCCCCCATTTGTTAATGTCTTCTGTCAACCTATTGGCTATATTTGCAGCTGTCTGGCTTGAAGTAATCTTGATTGCATCTTTCCTGCTTATTTGAATGTGAATGTCATGCGTGTCACAATAAAACTAATCGATCTCATTCCCTAAACATTGATTTTGCAAAAATTTAAAGGAATTGATTCAAAATCGATTTTTTTTTTACCCAGCCCTACATGAAATGCATGCATTGCTGCTCCTTCCATTTGCTTTCTATGGTAAATAATTTGATTTGTTTCTAAAATATTATTTAATGTTTAAATTAAGACCTGTTGAATATGTTAAATCTTTTTAATTATGTAAATCAGGGGGGCGGAGTATCTGCTTAAAATTTGGCCCGAAAACAATCGGCAGCAAATATCAGCAATCAGTTAGATTGTCGAAATAATCAGTATCAGCATTTGCTGCTTAAAAAAAAAAGAAAACCTATATGAGCTGATTCATAATTATAACCTTAGTAAAAATACTGTGGTTTTAAAGTATTAAAACATAAGATCTATAATGATCTTATTGCTTTTGTTTGAATTGTAGCAGCAACAGTTATAAAAATGCGCTGAGTTTACTGGTTGTTTTAGTGCAAATTAAACCCATTTACATTTATTCTTTTTTCTAAAGTAAAATTTGCACCAAGAAGTTGGTTTATTAATCTCCCTGCAGGCCGCTAGCCTGAACATGCAGGTCACGCTTTGTTACCTGAATGATTAAAAAAGAAAAAGGAAAAATCCAATAAATGGTACAAGACTTTATTTTATTTTCGTAGCACTGATTTTGTCTGTCCACCAGTGTCCAGCAACATGTAGGGGAGGGGAAGCACTTCACTAACCATTGCTCCAATAAGCCACGGAGAACCCAACTGACTCTAGATTTTACCTGGAAGTTTTTTTTCTTTTTTTGCAGAAACTGTGGTTTTTAGAACTGTGATTTAGACCTTCGTGTATCTGATCCAATAAGGATTCAGTTTTTAGCTTCGAGTCCATGTCAGCTGCCTCGATCCTGGAGCTTATCTCCTGTCAGCAGAAACAATCAGACCTCCTCTGACTCTGTCGTGGTTTTTATGAGAATCAATGCTTTGATGAACCGAAGTGGTAGAACTTTTCAGGATCTATTATTACATAGATGTGTGACACATAGAGCTGCAAGGAAGGTTTCAAACCCCAGTGTAGTCTGTATTTTATCAGTCCACACTATTTGAACCCTATCAAGGAACACGATGTTTTAAAAGTATTTAGCTTTATTTAAAAGCGAGCCTTAATGGCTCTGCAGATAAAAGGTTCGGACCGGCAATCGATAGCGACGAGCTTGACAGTAAGTATCCCAAATGTCACCTCCAGGTTCTCGGTTTCACTAAGGCGGATAAGATGACGAAAGCAGGGCCGCCGCAGATGCAGATGCAGCAGCAGCAGCAGGTCCAATCCAAACTGCCAGCGTATCTGTTAAAGGTGGTATCAAAGGCAATATGAGAGGGAGTGTCGGCTGAAGCTACTAACAGATGGAGCATGTGATCCTCAGAGGGAAACGACTGCGGTATCTGGGTTAGCTGTCCTCTTCTGCCCTGCTGCTCTGCTACTATTTAATCTTCTTATTATTGAATATATCAGGAAGGAAACGGCAGGTGAAGCAACCAACCTTTGCTTCATTTTGCACTGAACTGCCTAAACTGGTTTCCTCTTGCTGGTGTGGCTCTGACTCTGGAAAACAACCTACAGAAACATAACAAAGACCTCTGGAATTACATGGTTCATTTCTCAATCTGTAACTTACAAATGCAGAATATTTTGTCCATGGAGTTGGACTTTGAGTTTACTTTGGTGGAAAACTTGGTGGAGGGATGACTTCATGTTCTGTTAAGTCTGTATCTTTACTTTTTTTTTTTTTTTTTTTTTTGAAAGGGATGGTGTTATAACATTTTTCTACTTCTCTCTCTTTATTCGCATACATTTCTTGGTGCTATACCTTAAAAAAAAAAAAAAAAAACCCTTCCACTTTAAAATTAAATTACTACACATAAATGCCCCTTTTTATTTTTTTAAAAATTGCCTTTATATTTAAAAGTAACTTGTGTTGGTCTATGAGATAATCGGGGTAAAATCTGTCAGTTTGTTGGGTTTAAAGACTTTAAGAATCAGTACATATAGTCTATGTATGAGAGGGTTTTAAACTTGATTATTATTAACCACGTTTAGTTCCTTTTTGCAGTTCTACTAAACCTCTCATCAGTTACTAGACAGGATGAACATGGCAACCAGTTCCCTATCATCACCTTGGACTGGTCTCTTGCTTGTTCAACAAATCTGACTGGTTTATTTCATCTGCAGACCTTGAAAACCCTGGATATCCAGGATGACATCCACTCCAGTTTTTCCCAGCTGCTGGGCGAGCTGAACAAGCCGGGCGCCCCATATGCCCTGAGTGTCGCCAACAGACTCTACGGCGAGCAGTCCTACCAGTTTGTTCAGGTGTGTATTGGGCTTCCCAGCACTAGTCTGTGTGTGTAGAGGATCTGAAAAGGTGTGGCTTTCTTTGCACAATAAGAAGGCTTAACTGGAAGGACAAAGATCAGGTTACAAGCAAGTGGGGATGTTTAAAAATGATTGCTTTCTTTCAGGATTACCTTGAGAAAACTGTGAAGCACTACCAAGCAGAACTGGAGAAGGTGGACTTTTCCAAAAACTCTGACGCAGCGAGGGTCAATATTAATGGCTGGGTGGAGAGCAAGACACAAGGTGGATCACATGTGCTTCTCAATGTGTCGTTATTCCTATATTTCCCCCACCCCCCTTACAAATAGGAATGAAAGTCTATGAGTTAGTCATCAGTAGGGCTGGGTAAAAAAAAAAAAAATCTATTTCGAATCAATTCCTTTACATTTTTGCAAAATCGATGTTTAGGGAATGAGATTGATCCATTTTATAGTGACGCGCTTGATGTTCACATTCAAATGAGCAGGAAAGATGCACTCAAGATGACTTCGAGCCAGACAGCTGCAAATATAGCCAATAGGTTGATAGAAGACATTAACATGTGGGGGCTGACCAGAAAACACCCTGCAGTTGTTACAGACAACGCTGCACACATAGTTTATGCAGTGAAGATGATGCAGCTCATGCATGTCTGTGTCCCCGCTGTGTCACGTCTGCTTGCTCGAGTGAGGCTTCACTTTTTCACTTTTCACAGTAGTTTGCACTAATGGGACAGTTTTGTTCACATCTCAAGTTTAAACTATCTGATTTACAAGTTTGCACTTTGTGTTTAATATGACAGGAAAAAATTAAATACATGAGTGTTTTGAAACACAGTTAAACCACTTTCATAACTGTAAAAACAGATTGAATCGACTTATAACTGAATGAATCGACTTATAACTGAATGAATCGAAGTGAATCGACTTAGAACTGAATGAATCGAAGTGAATCGACATCGAACTGAATGAATCGAGGTGAATCGACTTTGAACTGAATGAATCGAGGTGAATCGATTTAGAACTGAATGAATCGACTTATAACTGAATGAATCGAAGTGAATCGACTTAGAACTGAATGAATCGAAGTGAATCGACATCGAACTGAATGAATCGAGGTGAATCGACTTTGAACTGAATGAATCGAGGTGAATCGATTTAGAACTGAAAGAATCGACTTCGAACTGAATGAATCGAGGTGAATCGATGTAGAACTGAATGAATCGAAGTGAATCGACTTAGAACTGAATGAATCGAAGTGAATCGACTTAGAACTGAATGAATCGAGGTGAATCGACTTCGAACTGAATGAATCGAGGTGAATCGATTTAGAACTGAATGAATCGACTTAGAACTGAATGATTCGAAGTGAATCGACATCGAACTGAATGAATCGAGGTGAATCGACTTTGAACTGAATGAATCGAGGTGAATCGATTTAGAACTGAATGAATCGACTTCGAACTGAATGAATCGAGGTGAATCGATTTAGAACTGAATGAATCGAAGTGAATCGACTTAGAACTGAATGAATCGAAGTGAATCGACTTAGAACTGAATGAATCGAGGTGAATCGATTTAGAACTGAATGAATCGAAGTGAATCGACTTAGAACTGAATGAATCGAAGTGAATCGACTTAGAACTGAATGAATCGAGGTGAATCGACTTCGAACTGAATGAATCGAGGTGAATCGATTTAGAACTGAATGAATCGACTTAGAACTGAATGATTCGAAGTGAATCGACTTAGAACCGAATGAATCGATTTAGAATCGAATGAATCGAAGTGAATCGATTTAGAACCGAATGAATCGATTTAGAACCGAATGAATCGAAGTGAATCGATTCAGGACTTTGGCAAAAATACTCAGCCCTACTCGATGATTCGCTGATTTTTATCTAAACGAAAAAGAAGCCCATCTAAATAAAGAGTTTAAAACCAACCGGAGGAAGGTTGAGCTTTATTAATCTCCTTCTATTCCTCTGATGTTCATTAATCATAAGCTTCAGATTACTTCTTTCATGTTTCATCATTGTTTAATTCAAGAATCACATTAGTGACTCAATAACCAAACAAACGGGGTTGCTTTCAGTAACATTTGTATGCAATGATTTATTTATGGATGGATGTCTTTTGTTTACTTGTCATTAATCATTAATTTTTTTTTTATTATTGGGTTTAATTGCCTGTCATATTTATGAGGTTTTTATATTTTAACAGCGTTTATTTGTTTTGTTGTGTATGTATTTGCTTGACGAATTGTCAGCTTATCTCTTTTATTTGAATCATTTCTTCATCGTTAGGTAAAATTAAGGACTTGCTGGCCGAGGGATCAGTGAACGGGTTGACCAGGTTGGTTCTGGTCAACGCCATCTACTTTAAAGGGAACTGGAACAAGCAGTTTAATGCGACTGCCACCAAGGAAGCTCCGTTCAAAATCAACAATGTAAGAAACTAAATGTTTATTTTTTATCATACTGATATATTCCAGCAGGAACTGATACAATGTCAACATGAATCATACATGCTTTAATTTTTATTTCATAGTGTTGAATGTTAGAAAAGGCTTGAAAAAGTGATATTACTCTAATGTAGAAGATTGTTTGAATATCTAGTGTGAGAACTGGCCTGTTTATTATTAACCAAAGGGATAAATAAACTTTAAAACCAAAATATATTGTACAACTGAATAAAATAAATTGAAAAGACGGGGAACTTAAGCATGAGAAAGTTTGCTCTCCTCTGCTATAAATATCAATTTATGATTTCTTCTTTTTTTTTCATTAAACAGTGTACTTTCTGGCAATTTAGCAATAAAAATAATGTGGAGCAATACAGCTATCACCACAGTGCTCCGTTTGATTTATGCATATAAAGCTTTATTATAATTCATGCACGGAGTATCACAGATTATATGGACACTGAAATAGGAAAGGAAAAAAACAGGAAAAAGGAGAAAAGTTGAAAGAAAGAAAGGGAGACGATGATAAAACGTCTTCAGTCTGCTTCATCACCTGCAAAGAGGGATGTAAAAAGAACAGCACAACCAGCGGATATAGTATAAGAGATGCAATAAATGTTAAGACTAATGTAAAGTACAGTCACTTTGACGACGCTGTTTGATCACGTATGCTCTGTGTGGGACAGGATTGCTGCTGATTAGAAAATAGGTGAATAATTAACTGATTAAATTATACTTCTATAGGAGATTTAAGATATAATTGGATGTAATCACCTTTTTTATTTTGGCTGATTTCCACTATCAAACTCTGAAACGACACAATTTCTTGTTCCTTCTCTCCCATTCTTTTAGAACGAGACAAAGCCTGTGCTGATGATGTACCAGAAATCAAAGTTTCCCCTTACCTTCATCTCAGAAGTCAACTGCCAGGTAACTGCAGATGTTTACAACTCAGGACAAAGGTCACCTATCAGCCATACTCTTTACATGCATACCTCGTTTTTAGGAAAGAATGGCTCTGTTGAACGAAAGCCAAAAAAGAAGAAGTTCTGTTTGCAGTTCAGAACAATTCATCCATAGGGAAAACTGACAAAGTTGTGCTTCTGAACACACACCACCATACTTCACCAGCTGTGAAGCATGGTGGTGGCAGCATCATGCTTGAAGATCCCTCTCTTAGCAGGTGTTATTATGCCTTGAATTCCAAATAAGATGGAAAAGTTGGGATTCTAATATCACAGTTAAACAGGTCCAGATGATTTAAATATATTAAATACAGAGAGTTCCAAAGGTTATGTTAACTCAATGGTGAATAGGTGGTTAGAATACACTTAAATGTAGATTAAGATGGGAGTTGTGATCAAAAAAAGAAAATTAACTGCAGGAATATTGTTGTTGTTTTTTTGTATTTCCCTATTGATGTTTAGCTACAATATTTATAATCCATTTTTTTTCCAGATCCTTGAGATGCCGTACCAAGGGAAGGAGCTGAGCATGCTCATCTTTTTACCTAATAGCATGGAGGGAACAACTGGTCTGGAGAAGGTATGACTTTAGCATCTAAATCTAATGCAAGGCCTGCAGAGAGAGCAGAAGGAACTGACTGGTTTGTGCACAACCTCAGCTGGAGAAGGAGTTAACGTATGAGAAGTTCATGGATTGGACCCGTCCAGACATGATGGATGACACCGAGGTCAATGTGGGCCTGCCTAGGTTCAAGTTGGAGGAGAAATATGACATGAAGAGCGTCCTGATGAGCATGGGCATGGTGGACGCCTTCGATCAAGGGAGGAGCGACTTTTCCGGTATATTTCCTGATTATCTACTTATACGTGATTCGGCATCCTTTTTTTCTCCCCTACTTGTTGTATTAGTTTGGATCATCTAAATATTTCCGCCCCCCTCCTCTCTGACAGGCATGTCTCCTGCCAATGACCTGTACGTGTCTGAGGTTTACCATAAGGCCTTTGTGGAGGTCAACGAGGAGGGAACTGAGGCCGCTGCTTCTACCGGCGTCGTCATGATGCTGCGCTGCGCCAGGATTCCTGCCAAGTTCATCGCCGACCAACCCTTCCTCTTCTTCATCCGACACAACCCCTCCATGAGTGTTCTCTTCGCTGGTCGCTACTGCTCACCTGTGTGAGCTTTGTCCTTTAGAGTGAGGTTTCTGAACAGGAGGGAGGTCACAGCGCTGTGAAAACAGATCTGCGGTTTCCATCCTGTAGATGTCAAACCAGTGCAGAGGATTTTTACCTCTTTTTCATGTGCCTTGCTGTAATGTTAGTCTCTCACTGTTTAACCAAACATGTTTGTTCATGTTTGTAAAACAGCCCTGTTAGCTGCAGCTAGTTTGTATGTTAATGTGTCCCTTGAAGAATTTGTTTTTTAATCATTTTGCCTTTTTATCAACTGGCAGCATAAACAAAACTGAACCCCATGGTTGCAACATTATTTGCACTTTATCTTCACAAAATATTAGAATAAATAATGGTTTTTACACTTGAAGCATAACCAAAGAGAAATGAGATTCTACATAAAGCTTTTGTTGGATCCATATCTTTGTAATAAACGAGTAACTTGAAACCTGGCTCCTCATATGGTTATTTGCATTCAGATCTGGCATGAAGACAGATTTGGTTAATGTGTTTTGTTTTTTTGTATTACATTATCACTGTTTAATATAACCTTAAATTCTGCACTTTTCAAAAAATCTAAAGTTGCTTTTATATAAGAATGAAAAGCAACAGTTATTCCAACTGCTTTAAACATCATAAGCGACTGACAGTAGTGTTATATTTACATTAAGCTTCCAAGAGGGTTGCATAAGAACTGCCTCTAACAACTGCAGATGTCAATTTCCTCAGTTAATGTCCATGTTCATAATTTAATGATAGAATACACTCACCGGCCAATTTATTAGGTACCCCATGCTAGTAACGGGTTGGACCCCCTTTTGCCTTCAGAACTGCCTCAATTCTTCGTGGCATAGATTCAACAAGGTGCTGGAAGCATTCCTCAGGGAGTTTGGTCCATATTGACATGATGGCATCACACAGTTGCCGCAGATTTGTCGGCTGCACATCCATGATGCAAATCTCCCGTTCCACCACATCCCAAAGATGCTCTATTGGATTGAGATCTGGTGACTGTGGAGGCCATTGGAGTACAGTGAACTCATTGTCATGTTCAAGAAACCAGTCTGAGATGATTCCAGCTTTATGACATGGCGCATTATCCTGCTGAAAGTAGCCATCAGAAGTTGGGTACATTGTGGTCATAAAGGGATGGACATGGTCAGCAACAATTCTCAGGTAGGCTGTGGCGTTGCAACGATGCTCAATTGGTACCAAGGGGCCCAAAGAGTGCCAAGAAAATATTCCCAACACCATGACACCACCACCACCAGCCTGAACCGTTGATACAAGGCAGGATGGATCCATGCTTTCATGTTGTAGACGCCAAATTCTGACCCTACCATCCGAATGTCGCAGCAGAAATCGAGACTCATCAGACCAGGCAACGTTTTTCCAATCTTCTATTGTCCAATTTGGATGAGCTTGTGCAAATTGTAGCCTCAGTTTCCTGTTCTTAACTAAAAGGAGTGGCACCCGGTGTGGTCTTCTGCTGCTGTAGCCCATCTGCCTCAAAGTTCGACGTCCTCTGAGATATAACCTGAACAGATTGTGGTTTAAAACACATAACCTCTCCATCAGAAGTTGCTGGACTAATACTTTATTACACTGCATCTATAAAGTGCATAATTTATGTAAAGGATTAAAGGTACACTATGCAACCGGTGTTGATTTTCCAGTGAGGCTCCCTCCAGAGGGCGAAAGTAAAAGTGCACTGTCGTAAATATGCTCAGCTGTTCTCCTGGTTTCTCCGTCAAGCCAGGCGCGGTTGTTTTGAGCTTAGCAGCGAATGACTAACGCTGCGTTCACACTGGATGTAGCTGGCGCGACAGAAGCAGCGAGTTTACATGCAGGGTCAATGGTTGACGCGCGCGTTTTGAGCTGCAGGCGCAGCACGTCTGAGCGGCTGCAGCAGCGCGTCGGGTGCGTTTAACGCAGGGAGAGAGACAGCGCTGATGATCACTGCTCTTAAACAGTTTATTGACGCCTAAATTAACTTAAAATGCAGAAATCTGCCGGCAGAATATGCAGTTTGGATTATTTAGATGAAAAACACCTACCAGCTGCCGCGGTGAACCGCTGCTGATGAAGGGATCCATACTGTCGGCGCATCCCTGGTATGTGGGGGTCTGAGCGGCTCCGACAGAAAAAATATTGAAGGCAGGATAATAATCTGAATGAACTGACTGCACTGATTACGTTTTCAGGTGGATTTTCTCACTTAAAAACATATTAAAACTACTTTATTCCCACTGATCACAGCAAATATAGCTGCAAGGCAGAGAAAGGATAGTGAAGCTCCGCCCAACGCGCCTCAGACACACTTTTGCAGCCAGAGCAGCAAAGCTGCCTCAGCCGCGTGTCAGAACTAACTGGTACAAGCAGCAAAAAGGAAGCAGCAGACGCGATTTTGCTGCTTTTGCTGCGTGAACGTAGCATAACTGCACAAAGATTGCCACTGTGCTAGCAACGAGAATGCTTTTAACTGGGGGCGTGTAGCAGTTCTCGCCGTAAAGCAAGACTGACTCTCACGAGACTTCTGAGCCTGTGGGTGCGGGTCGGTGCTCCTGCAATTGCAAGTGCAGTATTTCCCCCACAGACCACCAGGGCGGCCGAGAATACCTTTGTTCAACCTGAAATGACTCATTTAGTCATCCATAACGTTATGGAACACATTAATTAACTGAAAAATGTTGCATAGTGTCCCTTTAAGAAAAAGTGCAAGGCTTCTTTCAGCCAGTTGACCAGCCCAACAGTATGTCTTAGCGTAATCATTTTCCACTTCTTTCATTAAAAGCATTTTTGAAAGTAAGAAATGATATGACAGGAATTTGAGGCATGCAAACAGGCCTCATATTACAGTATGTCACAGTTTACTTGGCTGAATAGTTGCTTTAAAAAAAATCTGTTCTTAATGTTGTCTGGCCAGTTGGTGGCGAATGAATTCAGGTAAGCGAGACTGTAAATGTTGTTTGCACCTGGAACACAGAGAAGTGAGGATGGTTCTACTTAAAGAATAACAGCTTAGCTTACATCTAACCTTAAGAAATATGAACTAAAGAAATAAATGATTTCATGATAGTCATGATATACTAAACGACTAGATAAAATCCATATAAAGAGCTGCTCAGTGGAGCAGCACTGCCACCTTGCAGGAAGAAGGACTGGGTTCGATTCCTGTCCTGGGGTCTTTCTCCCTGAGCATACATGGGTTCTCTCCAGGTACTCCACCTTCCTCCAATTAACCTCCATGACTGTTAGGTTAATTAGTTCCTCTAAATTCTCCTTAGGTGTGTGTGTGACTATCTCTGCTTGGGATGAGCATGACAGAAAATGGATGGATGGAAGTCCAGATAAAATGTTGCAGAATAATGTTTATGTCTAAATAAACACTTAAAAATATGATCCTGAGGGTTAAGATATGTTTTTTCATTTTTTTTTTTACATCGGATAAAATAAATGGCTTTATTAATATAGAGGAGAACAAAGGAGGTGTAAAATCGGGCCGTTTGGTGCATGGCGCGTGTTTTGAAGCTGCTCTGCTTGTGGAGAAATGTCCTGGGCCGTGAGTAGTGAGGAAACAGGAAGCGATTCTTGTGGGATGGAAGAGGGAAATAGTGACAATGAAGGTTGGAAGATAGCAGCATCAAAAAATGAGAAAAAGCGGAAAAAACAGAGATCAGTTAAAGGGGAATCTAGTTCAGAACAATCCAGTGATGATCAATCCATACATTCCACAGCAAAACAAAATGAATTCAAAGTCATATTCAAAGTCGTTAATCAGGCAGACTCTTTTACAAACTGGAATCCGGTTCACTTAACAAAAACCATCAATAAACGTGTTGGAGAAGTCAGAGGTGCCAGAATTCTGTACAGTGGAGACCTGCTAATTAACTGCAGAGACAGCGCCCAGCAAGGCAAAGCAATACGAATTAACAAAATTGACGGGATAAGAGTTCAGTGCAGCCTAATGGAGAACAAAAAGATCAGCAGGGGAGTCATTGGAGGAGTTCCTCTGAAAATTTCTGAAAAAGAGATTCTGGAAAACATAAGCGGTGCAAAAGTAAAAGAAGTAAAACGGTTAAAAACAACAAGAAACGGAGAAAGATCTGACAGTTTATCTGTACTAATTAAATTCGAGGAAGAGCAATTACCAAGCAAAGTATTCATTGGTTACATCAGTTACAATGTCAAAATCTACAATCCACCACCATTGAGATGTTTCAAATGTCAAAAATTCGGACACATTGCAGCAGTTTGTAAAGGGAAACAGAGGTGTGGAAGGTGTGCAAGAGAACATGAATATGGTAAATGTGGAAAAGAAGCTAAAATAAAATGCTGTAATTGTGGTGGAGAACATACTGCTGCTTATCGCGGCTGTGAAGCAAGCAAAAGGTCTGAAGAAATAAAAAAAATGAAATTTGAGCTTGGAATAACTTATGCTGAAGCTGCAAAAAGGATCCCATCTCAGTCAGAAAAACCCAAACCTACAGTTCAACACACGGGAAATTTCAAACCTCTAGAGAAATCTCCAAAAATTGATGAAGACTCACTAATTGTTAAAAAGACAAATTTTGTTCTTTTCATGGTGGAAGTGATTAATTGTACTGCTCAGACGACAAAAAAAAACAGAAAAAATCAAAAATAATAGTGAAGGCTGCAGAAAAATATCTGGATGTTAAAGATATGAACTGGGAGATGGTTGGAAGCATGATGGAAAGACCAATGGGACCATCAGAAACTGGCAGAGTTACGATGACCTAGAGTAAATTAAAATTATACGGGCAAATGTAATTTAGTATAATTTAGTATTATGTGGGTTTAAGTTACACAGGTATTTTTTTTATTTTTTTTTATTTTTTATTTATTTATTTATTTTATTTTTTTATTTATTTATTTATTTATTTTTATTGGGGGGGGGGTGAATCGTTTCCTGTTTCCTTGCTTTACTCCATATCAGTTGGTGGCGGTAATGCACATTTCACAAGTTTGCCAACCGCCATAAAATCTCATAAGAAGAAGAAGAAGAAGAAGGTGTAAAATCTGTGTTGCAGTTTTATCCATGTCCAGCAGGTGGCAGCAGAGCTGGTACAGAGAGCTGATAGAAGAAGACATTGTTTACATCCCTCAGACTTCCGGGTTGTGTTTCCTGAGCCGCGGTCATTCATTGATGGTAAATAAAAGCCGTTCCTCTGTCTGCTGATGGAGACGCTCCTTTCAAAGCTCCCAGACAAACATGTCCTTTTCTCGGCCTCCTTTGTTGTCCGTGTGGCTCTGGTGGCTTATGGAGACCACCAGGACAGGACTATGGAGGTGAAGTACACGGACATAGACTACCATGTGTTCACGGATGCAGCCAGGTTCATCACACAGGTAATTTATCTGCTGCTGCTGCTGCTGTGTTAGGAAGGACTGAAACTGGAATAATTTAATACTTTATTGGAAGTCATC